CATTAACACTTACACTTTTGAACTTAAAACAAAAAAAAAAAAAAAAAGAAAATTCGAAAGCATAGGTGGAAAAGAGGTAAAGTATTATAGGGGGGGGGGTAACATTTCTAAATTTTTTTAGAAAAAAAATTAAAATTTTACCGGTTATAACCCTTTTTTTAAATTTTTTTTATTTTTTCACCCCCGAACCCCCTTTAAACCCCCCCCCCTTAAAAACCCCCCCCCCCCCCCACCCACCCCATTTCAAGGAAAGAAAATTCTTAAGCTTCCCTCCTCTCTCTTAAGTTTTGGCTTCGGGGTCTTTATGGAGAGTCGATAGTCATACCACAATCTTCTGTTAAATAAGCCTCCCTCTCTATTAAGCTCACCCCTTAAACATGCTTGAAAGAAATAAGTCCCGGGGGGGGGGCTTAATAGAGGATTTACGGTAGCTTCCTACATGTCTCTGTCAGTCGGTGAGAATCACCTCTCTTGCATCTTATAACAGATCACTAATCAAAAATACCAAAATCATTTTTCCACCCATAGCACCATACCTGGAACCACTCCTAAGCGATCACCGTTCGTAAGTGACCGGCAAATATTGGCATTTTAGGTGGTCCCTTACGGCAGGTTCTACTGTATAAATGTTACAATGGAACGAACTCAAACTGGGCCACCGACACTTTGTAATGTGCAGAAATGTTCTCGTGTTTAATAGCCTCAGGAGCCGATTACGGCTCCTGATAGCCTGGGTAGCTGGCGGTATTGTGTACTAGTCGAGTGAGATTTGGCGGCGGCTCCTCCGCCAAAACTTTAATCACACAAACCGCCAGCTACGCAGGCTAGGTGTTTAACCGCCTAAAGAAATACCAAAGTCACAGTCCTTTTTAACTGAACATAACCTGTGATTGGCAGATTGATGTTAAGTGGCACCGGTTAAGATTCGTTGCCCTATAAAATATCTGTTTAAGCACTTGATATGATCCCAGGTTTAAATACATCCCAAAATACCTTGCTATTTATTTGATGCCCTCAAACTGGAGCGTTACGTCGTCACCAATAAGAACAAACGGCGCCCATTGCCTCACTGCGCTAAAGTCGTCAGATTCTCTCATTGAATTCATGGCTTTATTCAGGGCCTCACTGGCACTTTGTCCATGGACTAAGTGTAGGTAGAAAACTTTCATGAACTCCATAGTAGCTTGGTCTTCGATCGCCCATAGGGACACCAGAACAGAACGAGCACCAGCACCCAAAAAAGCACGTGCGATGCCGACCACACCCTCAGATTTCACCTCTCCCCAAGCACTATGACAACAACTAAGTACAACAAGTCTTGCTCTAATCTTCGCCTCTAAAATATCTTTCATAGTTAAGAGGTAGTCCTCCCTGGCTGGATTCCCGGGTGATGAACATGTTGTGTTCGGGGACAAGGCAATTTCTCCTGTTTCCATTTTACCGTGAGCAGCAATGTGCACCAAAGCAACCGAGGAAATACGTCTCAAAACTTCATCTTTTGTTGCCTGCTTTCCAACGAGAGGTACAGCTTGAAGTATTTCCCCAATCATCTGCACTTCCCTCTTGGCCCAAATTAACTGCTCTAGCGGCTTTCCTTCATAAACCACCTCCTGTACCCACGGATCGCCAACGAGAAGAGCGCCAGTCTTTCTGTGCCAATCTGCTGGACTATTTTGGATTAATCGAAGACTAGAAAGTGAGGGAAGCAAACGAATTCTGAAAGTTTCACAGAGGTATTTTGATTTCACGTCTATAAATGCAGCATAAGGCGCCAAATACAGAGGTCCTTGTGGAACGACCACGATCTCATCGCCCTGGAGTAAGTCTCTTATAGGGTCTATAACAGCATTGTAAAATGTTTGTAATGATTTTGTCTCAAAACATGAAGGATGAGACTTTGCCTTAATGGATCTTTCTCCTGCTAACTTTTTATCATTTGGGTTCCTTAACGAGCGATCTTCACAAATAACATCAGCTCTCACACCTATTTCTTTATGTATAGTTTCCAAAAGAGACTGAAAATAGTTTGTAGCAGGGATAACAATCTGGCTTCTTCTAGTTTTGATTTCTTTTCCTTTCTTGCTCACCCAGAGAACTATTCCTCCCTCGTTGATAGCTATAAAAGCTGTATTTGAAGGTAAGTAGCTAGGAAAGTCACTTGGTCTTGCAGAAAGTGTTCCTATTTCTGGGCGTAACCCTTTAAGGCCATACTTGAACTCCAGAAGATCGTTTAGAGCCTGTGCACGTCCATGATCAGCAGTTAAAAGTGCCTCGATGACTTTACCTTCCTTAAACTGCAGCGCCCATAGACTCAAATTAATATGATCATACGTATTCGCTAGGCTTATCTTCCATTCGTCATTAGATATGAGATTTCCTCTGATGTGGTCGAAGGCTGTAACACTCTTCTCATAATACTCTATGGCTTTCTGGAAATCTCCAAGACTGTCATAGTCGTTGCCAAGATTACAGTACGTTCTTCCTTCTCCTACCCTGTCTCCCACTTCTTTCGAAATTTTAAGGTCTCGTTCATGGTACTCTATGGCTTTCTGGAAATCTCCAAGACCGTAATAGGCGCTGCCAAGATTACCGTACGCTTTTCCTTCTCCTGCCCTGTCTCCCACTTCTTTGGAAATTTTGAGGTCTCGTTCATAGTACTCTATGGCTTTCTGAAAATCTTCAAGACCGTCATAGGCGTTGCCAAGATTACTGTACGCTTTTCCTTCTCCTGCCCTGTCTCCCACTTCTTTCGAAATTTTGAGGCGTCTTTCATGGTACTCTATGGCTTTCTGGAAATCTCCAAGACTATAATAGGCGATGCCAAGACCACCGTACGCACTTCCTTCTCCTGCCCTGTCTCCCACTTCTTTCGAAATTTTGAGGCGTCGTTCATGGTACTCTAGCTTTCTGGAAATCTCCAAGACTATAATAGGCGATGCCAAGACCACCGTACGCACTTCCTTCTCCTGCCCTGTCTCCCACTTCTTTCGAAATTTTGAGGTGTCGTTCATGGTACTCTATGGCTTTCTGGAAATCTCCAAGAAAGTGATAATCGTGGCCAAGATTACCGTACGCTGTTCCTTCTCCTACCATGTCTCCCACTTCTTTCGAAATTTTGAGGCGTCGTTCATGGTACTCTATGGCTTTCTGGAAATCTCCAAGACTGTAATAGGCGTTGCCAAGATTACCGTACGCATTTCCTTCTCCTGCCCTGTCTCCCACTTCTTTCGAAATTTTGAGGCATCGTTCATGGTACTCTATGGCTTTCTGGAAACCTCCAAGTCTGTGATAAGCGTTGCCAAGATTACCGTACGCTCTTCCTTCTCCTACCCTGTCTCCCACTTCTTTCGAAATTTTGAGGTGTCGTTCATGGCACTCTATGGCTTTCTGGAAATCTCCAAGAGAGTGATAATCCTTGCCAAGATTACCGTACGCTCTTCCTTCTACTGCCCTGTCTCCCACTTCTTTCGAAATTTTGAGGCATCGTTCATGGTACTCTATGGCTTTCTCGAAACCTCCAAGACTGTAATAGGCGACGCCAAGATTACCGTACGCTTTTCCTTCTCCTGCCCTGTCTCCAACTTCTTTGGAAATTTTGAGGTCTCGTTCATGGTACTCTATGGCTTTCTGGAAACCTCCAAGATTGTAATAGGCGTTGCCAAGATTACCGTACGCTCTTCCTTCTCCTGCCCTGTCTCCCACTTCTTCCGAAATATTGAGGTGTCGTTCATGGTACTCTATGGCTTTCTGGAAATCTCTAAGACTGTAATAGGCGATGCCAAGATTACCGTACGCACTTCCTTCTCCTGCCCTTTTTCCCACTTCTTTCGAAATTTTGAGGTCTCGTTCATGGTACTCTATGGCTTTCTGGAAATCTCCAAGACGGTAATAGGCGATGCCAAGATTACCGTACGCTCTTTTTTCTCCTGCCCTGTCTCCCACTTCTTTCGAAATTTTGAGGTGTCGTTCATGGTACTCTATGGCTTTCTGGAAATCTCCAAGACTGTAATAGGCGTTGCCAAGATTCCCGTAGGCTCTTCCTTCTCCTGCCGTGTCTCCCACTTCTTTCGAAATATTGAGGTCTTGTTCATGGTATTCTATGGCTTTCTGGAAATCTCCAAGACTGTAATAGGCGTTGCCAAAATTCCCGTAGGCTCTTCCTTCTCCTGCCGTGTCTCCCACTTCTTTCGAAATTTTGAGGTCTTGTTTATGGTATTCTATGGCTTTCTGGAAATCTCCAAGACTGTAATAGGCGATGCCAAGATTACCGTACGCACTTCCTTCTCCTACCCTGTCTCCCACTTCTTTCGAAATTTTGAGGTCTCGTTCATGGTACTCTATGGCTTTCTGGAAACCTCCAAGACCGTAATAGGCGTTGCCAAGATTCCCGTAGGCTCTTCCTTCTCCTGCCCTGTCTCCCACTTCTTTCGAAATTTTGAAATCTCGTTCATGGTACTCTATGGCTTTCCGGAAATCTCCAAGACTGAAATAGGCGTTGCCAAGATTACAGTACGCTCTTCCTTCTCCTGCCCTTTTTCCCACTTCTTTCGAAATTTTGAGGTCTCGTTCATGGTACTCTATGGCTTTCCGGAAATCTCCAAGTCTGGAATAGGCGTTGCCAAGATTACAGTATGCCATTCCTTCTCCTGCCCTTTTTCCCACTTCTTTCGAAATTTTGAGGTGTCGTTCATGGTACTCTATGGCTTTCCGGAAATCTCCAAGACTGAAATAGGCGTTGCCAAGATTACAGTACGCTCTTTGTTCTCTTGCCCTGTCTCCTACTTCTCTGGATATTTTGAGGTCCCGATCATGACGGTCTATGGCGTTCTGGAAATCTTTGGCGTCGCCAATATGACTATTCCCTTTTTCTTCCTCTCTCCTCTCTCCAACTTTATTGGCAATCTTGTTGGTGTTTTCAAGATTACAATTCGCCCCTGTTTGTCCTTTCTCAGCCATTCCAATAACAAATTGCAGATAGGATCTACTGCTTTTCAAGAAGATAGTTGTGGCTGTCACAGTTTTGCTGGCTTTGCTATTTCAGCTCTTCTGCAAAAATGTATACTATTAGATATGTTGTGATTTCATTATTCCGTTGTTACTATATTTCTCTTTATGTACGACAACGTACGATAACGGAGACTAAAAGTAAAATTAAAACCTAGCATAAAAGCTTCCTTAGAATTCGCTCCTGTATTATTTGATTTTTTCTATCGCAGTTGCATTTGGTTTGCCACAAATACTGAGCCTGAACGTGTTTTTTAGCGTTGTGTAATATGACTTGATGGTTTGGAGTCTTCTTAAGAAAAAAGGAAAAAGACATTCTTTTTGGTAAGAATGATTGAAATTGAAAACGAAAAACAGATTTACCTTTGTTTAATCATGGTATGTATAAGTTATCCATCTACTCATTGAACAGTTATCTACCTTTCACTGAAAATACTAAAGCTGTAGACAAAAAACTACAAACCGGGCCAGCGGAAACATTCAGAACACTCAAATTTCGGAAAGTGTACTTATTTCTAAGGGTTATCGTCTCTTGCTGGCGTATAAGCGTACAGCAAATTACTAGAAAATCTCTTTCTTTACCACCAAAGCTCTGAGAAAGCTACAGTTTTTTTTAGCTTTTGGATTTCCAGAAATTTATAATGGTTCTTATAGAATAGGAAGCCCCCCGACCCCTAGCCCTGCTCGGTTCCAGCTTAAGTCTTACTCGGTGTAAAAACCGGGGGAGTTTTTATCGTTTTTTCCTTTTCACCTCCTATGTTCCTTAGTATAGCTCTGCTATCTTGACTTCTTTGAGTTCCTTTGTGTTATATCACTTAGGAAGATTGCAAGTTCTTTTTTAATACGCCCGTCCGCGGATGAGCCGGATTGGAAAGATTTCTGTTTGCAGCTTGCGCTTATAATTTAACACAAATGATGAATATGACTATGAGTACGTACAGTTGAACGTCCATTAAGTGGCCACCCTCGGGGTGCCAGTGAGTGGCGGGTTGTTCGTCATTCGCCATGTCATAAATGATCATACTATTTATAATCGAGCAGAAACATGACTTTATTTTACAACAATCACGCAACGGGGGCAGCATCACTGGTCAACAATGGGTCTTCACCTTTCATCTCGGACAGTGAGTTTCCTTCATCATATTCTTAAAATAAAGCCAAACTTAGACTGGTAAGTCCTTGATTTCCGCTTAATAGGGGTGACAACAATGGGGAAACTCTCGTTGCAGCGCAAAAAGGTGGCCGCGATCGCTCGATAGAGGTTTAATTTCCAATTCTTTCGGGATTTAACTGGCTGCTTAATGGAGGATGGCAGCTTAATAGGTGGTCACTTAGGCTGCATTCATTAACATACTGCAGGAGGGGGCTGGGGGGGGGGACAGAGGATATATTTCAAAGGGGCAAATTTTTTTTCAGATTCCCCCACATCATAAAGAATTGTTTGACAACCTCCCCACCACGCAGTCTTGAGGAAGAAAGTTCAATATAGGCAATATGATGAAATGGTGGAGAGATTGATGTTTCAAATAGAAAACTAAAACAAACCAAAGGCTCACAGATTTTTGTGAAAAAAAAAAAATGCAAAGAAGAGGGAATAAAGGTACAAGCACTCTACTTTTTGAGGCCCAAATTCCATCTCAAAGCACTTCGGCAACTGAGGGAACTGACTATCTTGAACATGTAGATTGTGCTATTTACAATTTAGGGAAGCAAAGTGTTGTTGATGTTGTCGATGCTGCTGATGATGACGGTGGAAATGAAGAGGGCACTGAAAGTTTTGGTGACAATGATGAAGTTTAGAGTATGCCTTCACAAAGAATGTTGCAATTTCCAATTCAAACTCCATGCGTTCTCCGTAGATCGAAGTGGATAGAGTTCCCGCCCGGTGTTTGGGAGGTCAGAGATTCGAATCCTGTCGGGGACTCAGATTTTTTTCTTTGTCCCACGCTCGTGACATGCCTATCATCTCACTTTCAAACTTGTTCAACCGAGCTTAAAATTTACCATCTTTTATTCTTTCAAGCATTAAATTTGTACAGTTTTATAACATTCGTCAGCAAATTTTAAACTGGTAACACGTTTTTCAAGTTGTGTGTGCTATTCGAACTATCAAGCTCTTTAAGACTTTCCAGTGTTAACTTGTTTGCATAGGAATACTAATTATAAAATACTTTGTACGGCTGTTATGCTAGTTTACAGAGCTCTATTTCAGTCCATTCATTACTCTTGATTTCAGTGGCTAGTGTCAAACACCACGTAGTTGTTGTTCACTTAAAAGAAATAAGCTTTTCATCAAAAACACAGTGACTTTTATATTAATAATGAAAGTCCTGTAAAGAGTGTATTTATAAAGCAAATAAGCTAGCAAACTTTCTTCAAGCATAGAGTAATTAGGATGGTCTTCTTTTATAATAATAAAAAAAAAAGGATTCCTTTTTTAATAAGTGGAGGAAAAAAATTAGCAACCCCCCTCTTCGTCTGTCAAAAATTTTGGTAAACCTCCCTTGTCAATTTCCAAAAAATTTGAGATCCGCCCCCCCACCCCACTCCCCCTGCGGTATACATAATGAATGCAGCCTCAATGGAGGTTCAACTGTACACAGAGTGGGATGATAACCATCTATGCATAATAAATCTCTGAAAGGGCTGAGAGAAAAGCCTACATGATGGCTACTGTAGCTGAAAAAAATTCCCCTGTGATCTGAAAGATCATAGACAACACGGCCTTATTAAACAGATATACTTTGACAAAAGTTTCCTGGAGATTAACAACCATATACCTGCCAACTTTTTCTGGGTCAAATGAGTGAGATTTTCGCCTTGCCACGATTGCCTAATTCGAAAACGTCCCAGCGTCTTCCGAGGATTTCCGATAATTTTCCGAAACCTTCTAAACTTTACCGAAAACTCCCGAAAATGTTCCGACGACCTTTGAGCACTAAGGAAAACACGACAACTTTAGCGTGTTTTAATTGATTTCGTAAGGACACATCATTCAAAAGCCTTTTCTGCCTTTTTGGAATATGTTAGTGGAAATCGAATTAAATTTCCGTCATTACTCATGTATCATGAAATAACAATTTGTTTGGATTTGTGATTCAGGCGTGAGAAGTTGTTCTTAATGCACGATATTGATGTCTGTCGGCCCACAGGCGTGAGACTCAAGCATAATGCGTGAGAGTTGGCAACGAAATATGTTTTTGTAAGGTAAAGGAACCTTGGAGTTCTAGTGTACTAACTTCAGCTAATGCAATGCCTACCTTAGTTATAAATTCCCAAGTAGTCTTGATACTTCGCTTGATTTGTCACGCCGAAAGGGTCTACGACGAAATTATAAGGCAAGTTTAAGTATAAAAGTATACTTTCCTTCACAAAATAACAGGACTTGTACAAAACTTACCTAAAGCAACTATCAATCCTTCTACCAAGAAAAAGTTGAACCTATGGGATTTTTCCCTTCCTTTAGATTTCAGTTTCACTCTTCATTCGTCGTCAAAACCAACTGACGCAAGTGCTTCCAGAAATAGCTCTCAAAATGCAGCCATCCAGGAAAATTTGAAAACCAATGAAGCATATGAGGGGTCACAACAAATCTAATGTAAAGTTATTAATATTACTCTCAACGAAATAACGACAAACAGCTCACAAAGAGCTCTTGTAACAGATGCTGTAACTTTTTGCTGGAATCTTCCTCTGAGGAAGTTGGTCTGAGGTTTCCTGTTTTTCTCCGAACACTGCCAGATGGTTGGTGATGAGTGACCTTCTAACGAGGCTCACACTTTGGGTGATTTGAAGTCAAATGGAATTTCAATTGACGTCGTAGATGTGCTGTCGTAATATTACGAAAGATAGTTTTCCCTTAAACTCCTCCTAATTTTCTTTGTCCGCTAAAATTTTGTCAAGATATTAGATACTGAGGTGGTTTGCCGGTTTCATTCCTGTACTTATCCCATGGTATCAAATCAAACTACCCACTACCCACCCCTCCCCGCTTCCTCCCAATCCCTTACCCCTTTTGACGCCTGCTACGCAGATCAGTCAAATTTTCTCTTTCCTTGCTCGGTAAGTGCAGTTGATGGTTCTGTTTGATCAATATCGATTTCTTAAACAACCGGAGAAGAAGATGTGTGAAGGGGATAGGTTATGGCTAACGTTACGCTTTAAAGCTTTACACTGTTTTAAAGTATCGTTTGATGGGCTCCTGTTGGTAACCCAGTGCAGCGCGATGGCTCCACTGTAAGCAGTTTCTCAGATAAATGTAACCCCATATTACTGAAGGATTCCACTAGTTGTATAAATCAAATGTCGCCATCGTCCAAACTTGCACTGTATTTTTAACGTTCAGCGAAAGGAGGAAGCAAAAATCTGGTTTTGTTCTGGTTGTAGTGCACTGCCTAAGAGGCAGGAAAATCACGGTCCCATGTTTTCTTTCTGTTAAAGAATTTTTGAATTCTCACCCCCTCCAGTCTCGGCTGTTCTTGTTCGCCCCAGAGATCGGATTTGCTACTTAGTCGGTACATCTTTAATAATTAAATGTCATTTATAGTAGAACATGAAGGTTTTCTTTCAGATAATGAAAATCTCCCAGTGGGGTACTCCCTATGATGGCCTTTACGGGGAGGCTCCGCCCGAATGGGGAACTTTTTCAGGCTTCAGGTATAATTGATGATAGGGGAGGGATTTCACTAGTTGAAGTATATGAAAGCGTAGGGAAAACTGTCATTTCGGTCTGTATACAAAAAGGCCCAAAAGTGCTCAGAGATGCATTTTATGGCTGTGAAAACAGAGCGGAGTGAAATTAGACAAATTTCATAATATCCTATACATGGGCGCGGTGCTTGAACGAATATTCGCTTATTCAAATGAATAATGATCAGGGGTACCCAACGACCGTTTTCGGG